ATATATATATATATATATATATATATGCGTAGGAACGTTCCGCAACATTGAAATGCTTTGCCAGCATTTTACTTCTCGTTCTCTCTTCTCCTTGTCTCTGTTTTTTTTTTCTATTGTCCTTCCTTTAGTCCCTACTCGGTGAACGTGGTGACCTGCCACCAAAGCGAAGCTCCCGCCTCTGAAGGAGGTCCTCGAGCGAGTCCTCATTTCTCCTTGCGCCCGCTTTTTGCGGCATGCACGCCATGAGAAGCATCATGTACAGGCGCCCAAACAGGTGATAGGCATCGAAGAAAAAGAGCACGACTTCAAATATAACCCTCCTATAGGCGGAGAGAACATGCTCGCGCAACCAACCTGCGAGAGAGGCGTTGCGCCTTGCATGGAGCCGCAGCGCTGCCGCCGCCTGCTCCCGCCGTTGCTGTTCAACAGTCGCATCGAACACAGACACCACTTTTGGGGCAGCGGCACCTTTTACCGCCGTCGTCGCTGTTGCTGGTGCGGTGTCGATCGGACGAGCAATCTGCTCAAGGTAGTACTGAGCACTCTCATAGCTGTTGATAGGACCGAGCCCTCCCACAGCCCTCCGAACAAACATGTTTACACGGTTGATTGGTGCATCGTAGAGACGGTTAAGCCCCCGAAGGATGTCAATGCTGCGCCCCACCAAGGGCAGTTCGGGTGGCACCAATTCTTGGTCCCTCAGCATTGTCCGGGCAGCTTCCCGCGCCTTTACCTGCATTTCAAACACCTCCCGCTTGGTAACCTCGCCGCAGTTGCCGCGGCGCAAAGACTCGTAAGGCTTTTGCATCTGAATCGAGGCAAACACCTCGGGATCGGTGATGCCCCACGACGTGACAATTTTACGTATGGTATCCATATCCCCCAGCACGATGGACTTGAAGAGCAAGGCGTATTCCACACGAAACCTCTCCCTCTCCGGGCAGCACATACCAAAATCCAGCAACACAATTTGCGGTTTTTTGCATTTTTTCGGCGACGACCGGTGCTCCTCACGCTGCCCACTCGGCGATGGGCAGCGAACCAAAATATTGGCCGCGTGCGGGTCGCAATGCACAAAGCCATATTTAAAAATCATGTCCCCAAAAACGTCGAAAATGGTTCTGAGAACAGTAACGGCGTCAAACTGCTGACGCACGGTCTCCACCTCGACCAATTTGACGGCATCTATCCACTCCAGCACCAGCAGGCGCTGCGTGGAGACTTCCTTGTATATCTTTGGGACATACACGTTTGGGTTGTCGGCAAGTTCAAGCCGCATTCGCTCCACATTGCCTGCCTCTGCAGAAAAATCGGTTTCACGACGAACACCGTCGACGACGCTCTGGCGTGCCCAACCCACCGGCATGCTGAAGAGAACTCCAATTGCCCACGTAAGGAAACGGTACGTCTGAAGGTCCCAAAAGACTTGATAGCGAATGTACGGCTTCTGAACCTTGACAGCAACTTCCTTTGGCTCATCTTGCGGAGTCGCGGGCCGCAACGTGGCCCGGTGCACCTGAGCTATCGAAGCTGAGGCGACAGGTACGGGATCAAAGTGAGAAAAAATCTCGTCCACTGTCTTTCCAGTTTCCTCCTTAATGATTCGATGAATATCTTCCAATGGCACAGACGGGGCTTTATCGAGGAGCACCTTCAACACATCCATGTACTCGCGCGGAAGGACGTGATTCAGTGCGTTAAAGCCCTGTCCCAGCTTGATGTAAAGACCCTCGTTCTTCAAACATACCGTTAAAATCAATTCTGCTGCCCTGCGGTGCAGGTCGGAATATTCCTCACGAGTTTCGGGCGTTTTCGTCTTGTACAAATACGAGATCTGCGCCGTCGCCTTGACTGCACGCAGAGAGCGAGTGAAAGAGTTGCCTGTCCAGTAGTCGGCGCAGGCGTAGCCGGTAGCCAACAGACCGGCGCAGTAGAGAAATCGACGACCCCATTTGCGCGTGCGTGAGGCATGGGGGGGTGCGGCCCGGCGAAGCATCCAATGCATAGTCCCAAATCACTGGGCAGCAAGCAGAATGGCACACATATTATGTGTAGGAATAAAGGAAGAAGGGAAGAAGGGAAGAAGGGAAGAAAAGTGTCAAGATGCAACTCTCTACAAAAATATATTCCAGCAAAAAAAAACACCATGAACAGCGTGAGAGTGAAAACCGCAACCAGCAAGGAGTGCGAACGTGCATGCACGTAATAATAATGGCGATAAAAAATACTAGTAGGCGGCGATACCCTTTTCTCTTCCTGATGCGGAGTCTCCTGCTATACTCCCTCTCATCACCAGTCCCGTTCCCATCCTCACGCTGAAACTTCTCATGGCTATTCCTGGCACATGGAAAAGAAAACAAAAAAAAGACACACACACCCACGCGACCTCCACCAGAGTGGTAGTTTGCAACTTCGTAAAAGCAGACTTTCAGCAAACTTCGCTCTTACGGTACAAAAACCTCTGCGAGAAAGATGCATAGCTGCGTCCCAACTGAAAACGCAGCCCAGCCCCCCGTACCAGATGTAGCCGTGAAAATAAAAAATAAAAAATAAAAACAAAAATAAAATAAAAAAAACAAGAAAACCACCTACCCAAACATGGAAGATATGCAGTAATACCTCTGCATATCGCCCTCTGTAGAAGTCACCAGTGCTGTACGGCTTTCCACGGCCAATACAGTAAGGGGCTGCAAACTCGCCAAGCAGAAACTGGGCACGCGTCGCGACTCAGCGCACATACGCACCCTTGAAACCCAGCACAACCTCCTCTTCCCGCCGATACATGGGAGTCTTCAAGACCGTTCGCAAAGAAACAATTATTGTCAATATTATTATTTTTTGGTTACAAACGGGGGTAAAAAATAAATAAAATGTAACGAAAGAGATAATAATAATAACAATAATTCAGCATGAGTTTCCATGCGATGGTTCATGAGTTCCTTAGCGCACTTGCCAGAGCCAGTACCGCACCGGCCAGAGTGGGAGGGGCGCTGCCACGACAGCTGACCTCCACGCAAGCTAGTGGTGGTAGTGAACAAGGCGACAAATGGGCATCATGGTCAAAACGAACCCGACTGCATCTGCAGGAAACCCCTTTCTCGGAAGAACTACACCGTAATATGTCAGAATTTCCGCAAATGGTACATAGTAGTTAATTAGGCACTCCACCTTCGAGACAGGCGCCGACACACATGTTTGCGAAGCCGGAAAGGAAAAGAAAAGAAAAAATTAATAATATTAATAATAAATAATAACAAATCATCGGGCGACCCACCCTCCATCCACGGTGATTGCAGCGCCGCGGATCTGGTCCGCCCCTGGACCAGCGAGAAACACCGCAGTTTCTCCAATCTGCTCAACCGTGACAAATGTTTTAGACGGGTGTTTTTCGGAAATAAGCTCCTCAGTTGCAGTCTTTATGTCACCGCCGTATTCGGCATCAGCGACCGCCTGAATTTGCTTCGCCACCAGAGGCGTACAAACAAACCCTGGACATATCGCGTTGCAGGTAATTCCTGTAGTGGCGGTTTCCAGAGCCACAGTTTTGGTAAGTCCAAGTAAACCATGTTTGGCCGCACAGTAAGCCGATTTATTAACCGAGCTCACCAACCCATGTGTGGAGGCAATGTTGATTATACGTCCCCACCCGCGCTGACGCATGCCTGGCAGACACAGCTGCGTGGTGTGGAAGGCGGCTGTGAGATCCAGCGCGATAATGTCATCCCACTTCTCCGGAGGAAAGTCCTCTACTGGAGAGAGATGCGTGGCGCCGGCGTTATTTACCACAATGTCCAAGGCTCCAAGCTCCTTCTCTGTGAACTGCAGCAAAGCCTCAATGTCTGCGCGCCTTTTCATGTCGGCACCAAAGTAGCGAACACGCGTACCGTAAGCTGCCACTTGTTCGAGGATCGTCGGATCCCGCGGGGTCGGGTACCTGCCGTTGAGGACAATATCAGCCCCAGCCTTCGCCAGCTGCATCGCAATGCCAAGGCCGATACCTCCTGTTGACCCTGTGACGACCGCCACCTTCCCCGACAAAACCTTTTCCAGCTGTGGCATCTTCCTGTAGAGGACCTATTGCTCGCAGCGAGGCGAAAACAGTACGTAGTGCCACCGCGACCAAGACAAAGAACAAAGAAGCAGCCACCGTTTTCATGGTTTACTCAAAATTGCGACTCCGCAGGTAGCAAAAACAAATAATAATGGGGAAGGACAAGAAGACTATACGCTTTTTCGAGGACTACATCGTGTTTTTTTTTTTTACTTCTCAGTCCGAAGCCCTCTCTACCCGCCCCCACTCACCTCCTCTCTTGACTCAATGACACGAATAACCTGTTCTGGATCGACGCCGCGACGCAGCAGCTCTCGCACTAGTTTCATGGACTGTTGGACTGGCTCCATCAATGTGGGCTGACTCCGCTGCATCGGTGAGCCCACCAAATAGGCAATAGATGCCAAGCACTCCAACTGACACCCCTCGTTTGACGCTACGGAAAATGCCCTCGGCAGAGGCCGGGCGCCTGCGGTATCGTCGTTTTCATTACAAGCAGCAGGGGTCTGTTTCGCATGGACAAGCGGGCATGACTGAGAAGGAAGAGAACTGAGAGAAAGGGACGGAGCGGCAGGGGAATTCGCTGGTCCACCCTTCACGAACGCAGCGACTTCCCGTGGAACTGCCGTCTCGGTGTATCGCAGACCGCCTCCATGAGGCACAGAGCCAGCAAGGTACGCTTCATCCTCCGCCCAGCTCGAGGCGGCCGTGCCCCAGAGTGCACTCATTATCCTATTTTCTTGCCGAACAGTTTCCCCCGCCCCACCCCTCTCCTCCAAAACAAACGAAGAAAAAGTAGCGGCATGAGAGTCCCACGAAAGAATGGAGCATAAAAGCGGGAAGGAGAGAACCGAATACGGGAGCGAAAGGCATCAAACAAGCAGCACAGAAAGAAACAAACGGGGAAACGCCCAATAATTTCTCACAAGAAAAAACTTGCCGCGCCGGTAAAAAGGAAAAATCCACTTTCTTTGTCAGTTTTTTTTTTTAATTTCATACTTAAAAAAAACTGGGGAAGAAATGCAAAAGCCATCGACGCAAATAAAATACGTCCCAATTTATAAAATCATCGCTAGTAATGCTACGGCAGAGGCGTGGCAAGGCGACAATGCTACAGGGGAAAAAGAAAGCAATAAAAATCCAACCGCACAAAAGAAAAAAGAAAAAAAAACTCACAACCCCCGTAAAGGAAGTTTCTGTTCGAACTACTCCTCGACGGAGTGAGAATGATAAATAACTAAACAAAGGATTCTAACCATGCGCGTATCTCCTCTTCTACTTAGTGTTTTACTCACAGGCCTGTCGCTTTTTGTTTACTTCTCCTCTTTACGAAACACAACACGTTTGGTGTCGGTCATAGTCCAAAACGTGGCGCTTCCATCCCCGTCGTTCGATCACTAGTCAACAGGGTCGCCTAAGTGTAGGCGGCACGTCCATACACCCTCGCCGAGGAACGTCGGCGAAGGAATATTCTATCAAGTGCTTCAACTTCGTTTAGCCGCACCTCCTGGATAATATATCCTCCGTTCTCAATGCGATGAACACGATGCTCGCGAGTCGTCAACTCTGTGTCAGGGACGGAGGAGTTGTGACGGCTGTTCGATTCACCACAATTTGTGTCCGTCGTCTTCACTACGTCCGGTTCTTTTTTCCCCACCTCTCCGGGAGGCCCGTCACTGTCGCCGGAGGTGCTTGCCGACCTCACCACCTCGAAGAACTCGTCCCTGCCAGGTATCTCTTCATGCACGCGGACTAACGCGTTGCCGTCGGCGTAGGGCACGTTGAGGTACTGCAGTGGCAGTTCGGTCGGAAGCGCCTCGGGATAGGTCCGGACGGCAGCGCCCCCCGAGCCCCCTTCTCTTCTCGCTCTTTTACGCCAAACTGTGTAGAACACATACACAAGTAAGGTAACGGGTATGAAAGCGACGATCGTGAGAGCAATGAGGTATACGACTGGCATTGCAGCTAGCGCGCTTCTATCGAGGGAATGCCAAGTCTGTTAATGCACAAAATCTGGTGGTCGTTTCCCTTGTCGCCCACACAAAGTGTGGTGCCCCTACCATTCATGCGGAAGAGTGCACGTGGGTGGAGGTTACGTATGCGTATGTGTGTGGACAAGAACCCCCCCCCCCCGGTGAGAGAGAAAATAAAGGCAAAAAAAAGTCTAAGATTCGCATCTACAGTGGCAGCGAGTTTGTAATCATAACAGCCACTCTTTCCACCGGGCTTCTGCTATTATTCTTCACGTCTGACAAGTACTCGTAAATACCTTTTTTTCCTTTCATCTGTGAGCTAACAAAAAAAAAAAGACAACTGGCCGGCGTGTCCCCAATTTCGGCCCCACCTCGCTGCGGTAGAAGCAACAGGCAGCCGTGAAGCCCAAGATGCTGCTGCCCAATACGCACCCCTCCTTCTCGTGCACTTGCCGCCGCCGCTGCAGCCCCTGTCGCCGATTTTCACTGTGGTACAGCCAAGGTATGCTCGCCAAGTAAAAATAAACGTACACTCGGTTAAACTTCTCGCTCTCTCCCCCCCCTTTTTTTTTCGTTATTCCTCTGTTTAGAGAGAGATATTGGCGTCCTCAGCTGCGCCCCACCGCCGCCTCCCGCGAATTGAGTTCCTTCATTAAGTCCTCCATATTTGTTGCCCGTATCTCCTTTCCCACCTGCCTCAGCCCACTAAAGGTCTGAATGGTGGGTGTGCCATTAACAAGCTGATACTCCACAAGTGATCGTGTGTCGAGATCTTTTGTGTCCACGCTGTACCACACGATGCGGCGCTTTTCGGCCTTACACTGGTCCGACACCTGCTTGTACATCTCCGCAAACGACAGGCATGGAATACATGCATGCTTCCAGAACTTAATTACCATGAGGTCATCCTTGTGTTCCTGCAGCTTTTGCAAGAACTCATCCTCGCTCTTGATTGCCGGCAGTTTTGTGGCCTCAAGGAAACCGCTTTCCTCAAACTCGTGGATCCACTTGGGAAAGTTCTCCTGCATAAAACGCTCATATTCGTTGCCGCTAAGGTTCTCGGGCAGCTTGCGGTCACCAAAGATACGTCGAATAATGTTGTGGGACATCTATGCGTTCAAGAGGGAGGAGGGACAAGTGTGGGTGGAAACTAGCAGGCGCCGAAGAGGCGAAGATACGAGCTAAGGCGTCTTCCTCTTCTGACGCGGGAACCGCTGCATACATGTTGCAATGAGAAGGAAAGCAAAAGCAAGAAGGGCAAAGAATGGTGGTAACGCAAGCTGTGCGATAATAACACATGAAGCGAAAAAAAAAACGGACCAGAAAAACAATACAAAAGAAAATCCCCCACAGAGAAACGACACAGGCACAACTGCACGATGCCGCTTTGACAGTCGATGTAGATTGCAATGAAAAAAAAGAATGTAATGATATCTGCACGAAAGGGGTTTCAACGACGCGGTGTTGACCGCCGCGCAGAAAATTGCAATAACATCAAGAAGAAAATAATGCTACGGAAGAATTCCCCCAACACTTTGTTTCCTGCTCACTTGACCCCGCCTTTTTACTCGGCCAGACCTTTCGGCCAGTGGCCGTAGTACCGCATGTGTCGCAGCTTCCACCAAACCTCGCTGTGAAAGTGGGGGTCCGTGAAGTCGGACTCACGTAGTTCTGCTCGCGAGGAGGACAGACGCGACTGCCCAGGTGACATCATCGTCACCGTCATATCAAGACCCTCGTGCTCCGGGTGGCGATCGGAAAAGCGTTTGAGCCTCAGCCACGGGTCCTGGAACTCTCGCTCCTCATCGGTCTTGCCGTAGACGTTGACGTCCCAGAAGGGTTTATTGTTCTTGATGCTGTGAAAGCCACGAATTGCCAACCACAGCACGAGCACAAACGGTATTCCATAAACGCCAATGGAGTGATTCAAGAATTTTTCGGGACTTTCCTTCCAATGTGCAAAAAGACGTCGATGCCATTGACGCCTATCTTTGCGTGTGAACTTCTTTGTTGCCTCCACACGATTAATGTAATAGACCGCGTCGTGAAAGCTCGGCGGATCGTTCGACGCTGTGGGCATCACATCCGCAGGGATGATGACGCCGCCGTACTCGTCTATTTCGTTCAGTGTGTATGTTTCAAAGTTGGTCACGTTTTTCAGGTGATCCAGGCCTGGCGCACGCCAGCGAACGACTTCTCCGCCCTCAAGCACGCGCTGCAGGTAGAACTTGTTGTCGCGGGTACGGATGAGCGACACATCTGTCTCCGTGCCGTTGCGTATGGGGCGGCCGTACTTGTCAATGTACACTAGCGTCGTCACGGCGGGGCGGGGCGCGATCACGGTACGAATGCCGCGAGCGTTAAACAGAGAGACGCCGAGCACCGCCGCGGTCGCCGTCATCCGCGACGGCCGCAGAGCGAGACGCCTGTAGGCGCCCCCCTCACGACCCATACGGGGCGTCAGCTGCATCGTCTGCCAGAAGGGGAAAACGGCTGCCGTGGGATGTCAAGTGGTGGCGGCGAGGGAATTGCACGATCACCGGGGTCTGCCACGCGACGCCGATCCAGACTAGGGGGAACCCAAAAACGAACGAAATAATGAAGCGGAAAAGAAATGAGCTGCAAAAACAAACAAAAAAAAACAGAACTACATAAAGTACACGACAAAAAAAGGAAAAGGTTCATCTTGTTTGGGAGTGGCTCGCCAGTCTTCCCTCGGTTGCAGCCGCAAACCCTGGTGGCGAGTTAAATCCATCTTCTCATAAAGTCGAGTAGAAAGGGGATAAAAACAGAATGCAAAAAAAAACAGGGACAAATAAAGAATACAGGTCTATCTTTTTTTTTGTGAAAGTTTTTTTTTGAATGCGGTGTGGCTCCAGACAGCGGAGTTTCCGTTTACTCTAAAAATTGCTTGTTTTGATCTAAGGGTTTCAGATGTTTCAAATACGTATCTAATGAAGCGTTATACAAAAAGGTTTGGCAAACAATGGAGCCATGCAGTCACCATTTCCGTTTTAGAAGTCCTACATTAACTAACCCTTTAATGGTGCTCTCGTGCGGGGGACAATAGGTTGCACAGGACGCCGGCCACTCGCCACACGGGAGAGGGCCCGACGTGAGGGTGACGGCGGTGGCATGCGCTGCTTACGCATCCCACTTTCTGGGGGCAGCAATGCGACGAGCCTCGGCCGAGGTGCCTCTCGCAGATCAGTTGACCTTCCACAGGCAATGGGCTCATTTGCATGGCTAACCTGCACACACCGTCGCAAGTTGCCGTCATGGGCGTTGTCGGCAGCTGGAAGTTTCTTCTCGGACGCACATGCTCGTTCTCCAAGTGGCGGGTGAGGATCGTCTTGCATACCGGCGTTAGGAGAAGCTATGATGGCCTTCGCACCGATAGTCGGCTCTGGGCTCGGCGACGGCGAAAGAGATGCTGCTGGAGCTGGTCCCAAACACCGCGAGGCCTGCCGGCATCGCTCCTTGTAGCGTTGACTCGCCTCTTCGTCACACCGCGCGGGAGACGCTTCGGATGCCGCGTCCAACGGGAGTATGCTCTTTGACACGTGGGCGGTGTTCCACATATCCAGTGTCGTCTCCAACGACGGTGAAACCGCGCTCTTCCTCGAATCCGTCAATAAAGCGTCCGCGCCATTTTTCTCTGGGTGACCCTCGTCGCCCCGAGCGAGTCTTTGCCGCAGCCGTTTTATCTCTACCGTCACTTGTCCCCATTTCGCTGACCCAGCACGGGCTGGACAGGAGAAGATGGGGACCGCCATGGACGACGGCTTCGGGCGTGGCGGAGGGGAGGACTGGTGTGGGCCCGCGCCGGCGAGAATGCCCTTCGTGACGTCCGTGCGCCCACCAATGGAATCAACGAAGCAAAAGGGCATGTTTGTCCCCGCTGGGGGAGATGGCGGCACAGCAGCACCCGGCTGCTCACAAGTCTCCTTATCCCGTAGCCTATGAAGACCCAAGAAGGACAATGATGTCTGCGGCACCTGATCCGCGTGCACGTCGACAGCGCCCACAGGCGCCTTATCATCGGCACTCGTCTTGCTTACACTACATGTTAAAGAATTCACCGAGGTCGGGCTGCACTGGGGCGCCGATCCCTTTGCGCTCGCGAAAGTAAGTCGCATGGCGGTTTTTGCGGGGCCTGCTTTGTCACTACAAGATTCTTGCCCATTTGGAGACGTGTCTGGTGCGGAATCGGCACACCGCGGTAGTTCGCACGAGCCTCGCGCTGGCAGTAGCCAGGCAGAGGGGTGTAGTGCTTCTCGACACTCCTGCAGCACATATTCCCCAGCACGCAGGTGCAGGGAGTTGCTCAGGCGCAGCAATAGCACCGCGTGGAAAACATCCCAAGTTATGGTCTTGTGCCCAAACGACGGCCGCATGACATGGTAATCATAATCTGCTGTAAGCGCCAGGTCCGCCTCCGCCTCCTCCCGCTCTTCCTGAGCAATGACTTTGGTACCACCACTGGCAGAAGCCAGCAGACGCTCACCCGCGGAAAGCATCTCCTCCCATAGTTCGTCCCTGAAGCGTTCAGACCCCATGCGTGTAAGACTTTCACGCTGCGTAATTTCGTCTTCTGCTGTGAAAAAGCGATTGATGACCTCAATGTCCGCAAGCAACGACATGACGGCACGGTATCCGCTCTCGCTCAGCTGCCGCGCTGGCGGGTCACCCTTGCCTCCTCCGCCTGAGATGTAGGAGTACGACTGAAAGAGCGACCACAGGTGCTGCTTAAAAGCATTGATATCATTGGACGCCATATACCAGCGTCTGCGTTTGCTTAAAGGTGCTGTCTCTGCCGCGCCAGCTCCCTCTACTTCCTTTAGTGTCCACTCCCCTAAACACCCTCCTGCGTTACTTGTCTCCTCGAGGGGGCACGCACGCACAGACGCGGAAGCAAAATACAGACCGCAATGGAACCGGTAAACTGAAAAATAAAATAAAAATGAGAAAAGAACCCACCACACACATACAAAGACAATAAGAAGCTAACGGGGAACACATTTATTACGGGAAGTTTTTTTTTTTTGTTTAGGTCCTTGTCTCTGTATGGGCATAGCCATCACCAATCCACTGAAGCGTAAAAGTATTCTGAGCGATTGTGGATTCCTCATTCATTCCTACGAAAGGCTCAAAATGACACACATTCGTTATGGGAAAAGATAATGTGAAATAAGCACGACATATGCCGGTTGGCCTAGGTCGCAAAGACGGAGCTTTGAAAAACAACCCCGCCCCACCCCTCACAACGGCAGCAACAAGGAAAGAGTCTCGTCTGCCATTCCCCCCAGTTTCTTCAAGGTATTTGATGCGTCTGCCACCTGGCCCCGCGGCTTTTGTTTCGTGACAACATACCACCGACATTTGCGTTGAGGAACTTCAGTGGCAGCACCGCCGCCCGCATGGAGATGCCAAGTTTGTCCATCTCTGACCATTGCACCGGGATGGGATTCAGCCCCGCGGCGGCGATGCTGTCCATTGACCGCTCGTACCCCTTCTGCACCAAAACGTCTGTGGTGAAATCAACACCGTAAAAGGAGAGGAAATGACAGCCAGGCTCGAGGTAGACAACATTCATCTCAGCACTGGGTTGCTTCTGCTGGTACTGGTCCACAGCCAATAGACCATGTTCATCTTTCCACGTTAGCAGAACATTGTTGCCAGCAAAGCCAAAGTAGTCCCCTAGCGGTGGCGCGTCCCCTTCCTGCTCCAATGTGAAAACGTCAAAGGTGAACTGATCCTCCTTGACCTCAAATAGCTGTTTCAGCGTTGAGTGAGCCACCGCATTTGTGCGAGGACCGTGCCCAACTGCAATGCCTGTCGGCAAACAGACAATGTCGCCGCTGTGGCAACGGCAGTTTTCCGTGTCCTGAAGGTATGACGCGAGCGTAGATGGGCCACCGGCGCCGCGCACGTAACGCATCGACTCCATGAACTCCGTCGCGCGATGTTCCATGCCCGTCAGAGGCATTCCTAAAAAGGTGGCCCCAATAGAGGCCATTTGATCCGCCACACGCAAAGACTCAACGGAGGGCCGCTCAGACATCAAGTGGACCTTGTCAACTAGAGAAGAGTGCTGTAGAGTCTTGTAGAAGTCGCGGAACTGATGGGTCAGCATGTCGCGGTTAACCACAATCCCATTCGGTCCGGCGCTAGGAACAGATCGGTAATGAGGCGAGCGAACAAAGGCATGCAATGCCCTGTTTCCAGACGTGCGTCGCAACATGAGTTCTTCCACTTGCCCCCAGCTGGAAACAAACCCGTAACACCTTCTATCGTTACTTCGCGCCTTTTCCCCTCTCCAACGTATCACCTCGTCTCGTTCAGTTGTTAGCTCCTGATTAGCTTCGCTTCCAAGTCCCCGCTCCAGCAACCGGAGGCCGATTCGCAGGCGAAACACCGCGGCACAGACTTCAGTTGGGGAGATATTAATGGACAAAATGGCATCATCGCAACAAGAAAATAATAATAATAATAATATAGAGAGCAAGGGAGAGCAGGAGAGAGAGATGGAGAAAAACTGGAAAGCAAAGGCAAAAGTAAACAGCAGAAAGACCACTCAGGAAAAACAATTTATGGGTGTGTTTGGTTTTGTTTTTCTTTTCCCACTTTCAGAGCCCCTAACGGGGACTTGGCAACCTCCTCACACGGTACACATGCAATCAATTTGCGCGTCATTTATTCTATCGGGGGCGGGTTGCCGCGGTACCGCCTCGCAACGTAACGATGCACATCCACGTGCTTCCAGTAGATCCCACGCCACGATTCCGATGCTATGGACTCCGACGTAGGCGCAGGCCGCCACAAATATCTGTTGTCCAAAGGTTGCATGCGCAGTCTCGTGCGGTGCTCCTTGCCGCACCGCTCCCGAAGTGAGACGACTGCCTGCGTCGGCGCCCCAGGCAGAGGTGGCGCAGAGATGTGTTGTGTCTCTTCATTATACCGCACAACAGGTGGAACAACGGGGATGTATGTGGGCAAGACAGCAATAGACGGCGATGTGGTTGCAGTGCCTGGAATAGGCCCGGGTCCTTTGCTTGCATCCTTAACAACAGGGGCCACAGCTGTCGTTGCCAGCGCAGGGACTGGCGGTTGTGTGGTACTGAAAGTTGCTGTGGGAGAAGGTACCGGAGGTGGTGGGCTTGGCGGTGGAACAGAGGCCGGCAATGGAGGCTGATAACCGCTGCTTGCCGTAAGCCGCGTGGACCCCACTGCAAGCGGTGGAGTTTCCACAGGTGGTATTGACGGCGGTAAAGCCGCGGCAGTCAGCATTTTCAACGTCCTATAGTCGTTGCAAAAAAAAAAAAATTTTTTTCCCACTGCCAACCCAAATGCTTTGATTAGCCATCCCAAACAGGGGAGAAACGAAGAATCAAGACACATTTGAAGGTCGACCAAACACATGTCAAAACCAATGCGTAAGTGTCAGCAACCCAACAACGCATTTCAAACGCGAAAATACATAAAACTGTCACAACAAGTTAAGAATTCTATGCACCCTCTACAACCATATTCACCGCGGAAACTATGGTGATGTTGGGCCCATCTCCCCAGAGCCCCTCTTAGCGCCAAGTGGAAACAACCGAATTTTTGGGAGAGATTTTTTTCGTCGCCTTTCTTTTTCAAGATCTGGCGCACGAAGACTTGGCTCAGCGCCGTAGAAACGACGCTGAATATAGTTGCCCACATTCTTATTGGTCCACTCTACACCCTTCCATGACCTACGACCCTCTATAGCAGCAGCTTGAGCCAACGCCTCAAGAACTTCTGCACGTGGTGGCGCGGAACTGGAAAATGGAACAGTTTTACTTCCAACCTGAGAAACAGAGGTAGCCATGGCCACTCCCACGCCTCCTGGCGACGGCGTCGTGGCGGAGAATGGCTGCGTTGTGGCCGTGGCCACTCCCACGCCTCCTGGCGACGGCGTCGTGGCGGAGAATGGCTGCGTTGTAGGCCGTGGCCACTCCCACGCCTCCTGGCGACGGCGTTGTGGCAGAAAATGGCTGCGGTTGTAGCCGTGGCCACTCCCACGCCTCCTGGCGACGGCGTCGTGGCAGAAAATGGCTGCGTTGTAGGCCGTGGCCACTCCCACGCCTCCTGGC